GGGGGGGGGGGGCGGCACATGGGTGGCTCAGTCGGTTAAGCGTCCGACTTCAGCTCAGGTCACGATCTCATGGTCTGTGAGTTCGAGCCCCGCGTCAGGCTCTGGGCTAATGGCCCAGAGCCTGGAGCCTGCTTCCGATTCTGTGTCTCCCTCTCTCTCTGCCCCTCCCCCGTTCATGCTCTGTCTCTCTCTGTCTCAAAAATAAATAAACGTTAAAAAAAAATTTTTTTTTTTAAATAATAAATAGGGGCACCTGGATGGTTCAGTAGGTTATGTGTCTGACTTTGGCTCAGGTCATGATCTCACTGTCTGGGAGTTCGAGCCCCACATCAGGCTCTGTGCTGACAGCTCAGAGGCCAGAGCCTGCTTCGCATTCTGTGTCTCCCTCTCTCTCTGTCCCTCCCTGGCTCATGCTCTGTCTCTCTCTCTCTCTCTCTCTCTCTCAAAAATAAACAAACATTAAACATTTTTTTTCAGGGGCCCCTGGGTGGCTTGGTCGCTTAAGCGTCCGACTTCAGCTCAGGTCATGATCTCACGGTCCGTGAGTTCGAGCCCTGCGTCGGGCTCTGTGCTGACAGCTCAGAGCCTGGAGCCTGTTTCAGATTCTGTGTCTCCCTCTCTCTCTGCCCTTCCCCTGTTCATGCTCTGTCTCTCTCTGTCTCAAAAATAAACGTTAAAAAAAAAAAATTAAAAAACATTTTTTTCAATGTTGTTAAAATAAATAAATAAATAAATAAATAAACAAATATTAAATGAGAAAATGAAGAACTGGTCTTGTCTCAAATAAGGGATTGACATGGCACCCCCCCCCCACTGCCATGGCTGGTCTCTGAGTGCCAAGAACACGCCTTGTGCTCTTCTCAATAACCTTGTGAGGTAGGGTTGGTGTTACTCCCATTTCACAGAAGAGATGAGACCCAGAGAGGTTAAGTCACTGGCACAAGGTCACGTAGCAAGTGGGTGATGGAGCTGGGATGCAGTCTTGGGGCCCAGCTAGGAGGTTGGGGGGGGGGGAGGGGGGCTGGCTGGCTACTGAAAGTTCATGCCACTCGTGCCCAGGGTCTCAGGCAGGCCCACTCCCTCTATGCCCCCTTCAGGCAGCTCAGCCCAAGCACCCCTCTCCGTAGACCCTGCCTGTGATCCCCTTTCCTGGAATGAGGTCATGCCTGTCCAGATTCCGATCTGGGGAGAGGAAGGGGGGAACAAATGAGGAATTTGCTTTGAATGCCTATTTTTTAAAAGCCATAAACAACCAGAACTCTCTCAAAGACCATGGGAATTGTTTTGGAAAAATGATGAGGCAGGATAGGGAGGGGTGAGGGGAGCAGACAAGATGGGGTAATGAATTGGAGCCAAAGAGAGAAAAATGGGACCTCAGATGACAATAATATTGATATATTGCCATCATCATTATCATCATCATCATCATCATCATCATCACCATCATGGCTACCACTTATTGAGTGGTAATCTGAGCCAGCGGGTGGGCATGTTTTACGTACCAGATACCAAAGAATCCTCATCAAACCCTAGGGAGTCAGGGCTATTGTTTCCCCATTTTAGGGAGGAGACGGCGGCTTGCGGACGTAGGACTGGACAGCCAGGCTCTCAGCCACCAGGGCACGCAGCCTCAGCCCAGGGTTTTGCCCCAACTCTGCCCCAAGCAGTCACATGCCCAACAGGCACTCTACCTGCATGCAGGATCTCAAGGGTCCTTCAGCCATGGCTCGGGGGGGGGGGGGGGGGGCTGACCAGCCCCTGGGACACCCAGCCTCAGAGCATTATTTCCAGAAGGGCCAGAATCCACCCTGACCCTTGGGAAGCCAGGCCCAGCAGGAAGCCGCTGTCCTGTGTCAGAACTCGTACCCAGGACTGCCTAACCCACAGCATGCTCTCAGCAAAACCCAGATACTGCATCCAAGCAGGGGGTGGCTAGGTTTAGAAGGCCCCGGGGCTGGACGGGGACAAGAAGGGCAAAGTATCATCCCTTGAGGTGTGTCAAGGCCTGATTGTGGGGAAGGGGGTTGCTGTAGGTTGAAGAGGAAGCCGGGGAGGCTGAGGAAGTGAAGACCAGAACAAGGTGACCCTGAAGGAGACAGAAGGCAAAGATGAAGCTGACGGGCTTGAAGTATCTGGGCTGAGAAGGGCTGGGTGGGGTAGGGGGCAAAAAGAAAGCCCACTGTCACCCTCCCATTGGGATGAGGACAAGTTATCCAAGCCGGACTGTAGGACCAGGGTCCAGGAGTAGAGGGCTTGAGGACTAGGGTGGGAGTCACCAGGCAGAGGGTGGAGAGAAGAGAAGGTATGGGCAGAAATGGACAGAAAATGGGTGTAGGAAAAGAGGAGATGGCCCCAGGCACCCTGCACCCCCAAACAGACAGCAGCAGCCCTGGCCCCAAGTTCACCCAACTGCCAGTACAGGCATGCCTTGCTGTCCAAACTCAAGAAGTACATAGGCACCTGGGTGGCTCAGTCAGTTAAGCGTCCGACTTTCAGCTCAGGTCATGATCTCACGGTTCGTGAGTTCGAGCCCTACATGGGGCTTTGGATCCTCTGTCTCCCTCTCTCTCTGCCCCTCCCCCTGTCAAAAATAAATAAACATCAAAAAAAAAAAAAAAAAAAAGAAGAAGAAGAACTATATAGATCTGGATCTGTTTTCAGATAAACACTTTGCTACCTGAAATTCCAGAACCAAACATCACAGAGTGGGGTCTCTCACTACCCAAACTTGCTCTCCCAGCTCGGGAGCCAAATGGATTGGGATGCTAGTATCTGTCTGAGGATTGACCGTAAATCAGGGAGGGTGGCCCTGACACTGTTCTGCACACCACTGGCTCCCCTTTGCTCCCCACTCTGGCCAGGCACAGGCAGATGCTGAGCAAGGGGCAGTCCACTCACCAGTTACTGAGCACCTACTCCACACCAGGCCCCAGGACTAGGCAAGCCGCTGGGCCAGGGGTAGGGGTGACGTCATTTCTCAAGGGGTTCCTTAGAAGGGTCCCAGGCGGCACCAGGAAACTGGGTGCGTTCGACCTAACTCTGGTCAAGGAAGGGTTAGAAAGGGAAGACTTGGGGGGGGAGGGTGTGGCAGGGAGCAGGGCGGCAGGATGGCTTCCTGGCAAG